TGAGTCACCAGAAGTCTTCATTTTTTCATTAACAGTATTAAAAAGGCAGCAGAGCTGTCACTTGATATTAGTATGCCTGTCATTTTTTAAAAATACACTCCTAGGGCTGGGGATTTAGCTCAGTGGTTCTGCTGCCTGCATTGCAAGCACAAGGTCCAGAGTTTGATCCCTAGCACAAAAAAAAAAAAAAAAAAAAAAAAAAAAACTCCTAGATTCTGATGTCTTTGTTCTATTTAGAGTAACTGTACCTGAATAAATAAGCAATCTTTAGTTCTTTTATTAAGCAAAGTTCCTGAATGATGTATTTTTTAAAATAATTTTATATTCATATGAATTTACTCATTTTTGTTCCTCTAAATTAAACTTTTATTTTAAAAAATCAGGAATAGTATGTGATCTGATTTGGTGTGCGTATTTACAACACACTGAATATATGTATATATAAAATACACAAATGGAAGATGTACTGAAATCCTCTATGAGTAAATTCTTTTGCTACTTCATTTTCTAAAGTTTACACAAGTTCAAATAGAAGAGTAGATCTAATTTATGTAAAGGGCTAAAGGTGTAGGGAAAGTGGGAAGGGTAGAGGAAAGGAAACAAGGAAAAAGAAAAAAATATGAGAAAATGCAAAAATGGAAATAAAGAGTTTGTAAATGGGGAGGGGTGGAGGGGGTGAAGGGAGGGCAGGGAAAAGGGGCAAAAATGAGAACCAAGACCTGTCATGTGAAGGTACAGGATCCCAGTAATGAATGTAACTGTATTGTAGACCTAGATTGTACCAATAAACTCAATAAAAAAATAATATGGAAGAAGTAACAAAAGTTGATAATGTAATAAACAAAGTTTAATTCTACTCCATTTTGAGATTTAATTTTCTTCCATTCAAGAAAATAAGCACTTCTCCACTCTGTGTCAGCACTTTTCCACTCTTAGTCTTCCTTCCCTCCCTCCTCCAGCTATATTTTGAAGGGTTAGTTTATTGAATAAGCCTTGCTGATGTGGCTAAGAATGTTAGAATATTACATTCTAAATCCTACAGTGGAATGTACGAGATAAAGTATACACATTTCTTCCTTACCCTCCTGAGGTTTGGCCCAAGATATTTGAAGGATATTTTGGAAAATACAACTTGGTTGTTATTTCTGAATCATATAGTTTCAAAGAAAGGGTATCATTTTATTTGTTTTTATAGATGCTTCAAGTCTCTTCTGCATTATTTCAATTTAAGGCCAAAAATTTGTCAATAAAAAGTCAGATTGTTCTTTAAAATATTTTTCTAAAGAGTCTCATTATATAGTCTAGGCTGACCTTGAACTCACTATGGAGCCCAGGCTGGCCTTGCATTCTCAGCCATCCTCCTGCCTCAGCTTCCTGAGTACTAGGGTTACAGGTGTGCACCACCATACCTGGCCTCTTTGAGAAACTTTCTGGCATTGAGAATTAGTACCATACAAAAATACATGCAAAAAGGAGTACTAAAGAAAATTTTAAATGAAATAAAAATATTCTATAAAATATTATTTAAACATCAACTATTGTTAAGTTCCTTGTGTGAAAATTCTTTGATTTGTAGATATTCTAAATTAATACTCATTTATTTTATTTAAACATTGATGGAAAATAGGCTACATAACTTATAATTGTTCCAAGTATAATACAAATAGAACATAGATATATCAGAAATATTGAAATTTATATCAGCATAAATCATATATATCTATCTCTATATATATATAGAGATAGATATAGATATAGATATATATGGCTCCTTTTCCCTCTTGTTATGTGCAGTAAGAGAGAGGCAGCCATCTTTCCTTGAAAAATGACCAAAAGCTGGGGAACTACCTGTCTCTCAATTGTAACATTCACTTTTCATTCTTTGTTTTGTTTTGCTCTTTGGGACAGAGTCTCACTATGTAGTTGAGACTGGCCTAGAACTCACTATGTAGCCCACGCTGGTCTCAAACTCAAAGAGTTTGCCTCAGCCTCCCAAGTGCTGGGATTACAGGCGTGTGGCACCATGCCTGACTCATTCTTTTTATGGAAAGTATAGATTAAAAACACATCACTTAGATTCCCCCAGTTTTCCTACTTGTAAGCTGTATGTGGTTTGAATGCTTTTGTCCCTTCCACAGCACATGTTGAAATAATCCCTAAGTCACAGTGCTTGGAGGGCAGATTGCAGGCTCTGCCCTTGTGGATTCACATCTATGAAAAGGAGATTTTTCTCTCTTCCCGTCTTTGGCCATGGGACAGCAGCACACCTTCCCTTTGTGTGGCGCAACACTTAAGGGGTCATTCTGGAGCATCTCCAGGGCTCAAACCAACCCCAACCAACAGGACTAAGACATGAACTTATCTACTAATTTGGTTAGCAAATATCTGTTCTCGATCTATTTTATACTACAATGTAGAATAAAATAATTAATTTAGTCTTGTTCACAAGGAACTTTAATCTTAAATGCAATACTAAATGCCAGATTTTGTCCCTGGTCATTATGGAGTCAAAACAAGAGCACTTCTTAGAAGAAAAAAGAGCATTTCTTAGAAGAAAGAGATGATACCTGATCAAATTCTTACTGTATGATTAAAATTTATTCTGGCCAAAAGAAGAGGAAGTAAAACAAAGATACTTTAACATTTGAATCTAGAGAGTTGAAAAATAGGCTAAAGTTGGCTGAAAATTTCAAGCCATTTGGTTTTGTTTAGATTTGATCCCATATTTGTCAGTAAATGGAAAGGTTATTAGACAGGTTCATGGTTAGGCTTCATTTACCAGAGCTCTTGCAAGAATTTCGTTAGGTCAATCAGTCAGGAACTGGAAGCCAAGGAGAGAGATTAAGCCCACAAGCTCATAAAAAGGAGGTCTTGGGCACCTGAGAGGTTTGTGGATAAAATTTTGAAAGTCCTTGAACTCGAATGTTCAGAAATGTATCCCAGAACTATTTTATGCAGCAAATATAAAACTGTATACCCACTAAACAGCACTCTCTAGTGCTCCCTCACCTCAGGAATTGGCAGCTATATTCTGTTTCTTTAAATATTACTACTGCAAATACTTCATATAACTGGACTCATACAGCACTTGATGTTGTGAGACTGCCTTGTTACCAGAATAAAGCCACAGATTACCAACACTGAAAGAAAAGCTAATTCATTATTATCAGATATGGCCTCATGCAGTACATACAACGTATCAGCAAGTAGAAATGCTGTGTAAGCATTAAAACTTTGACAACAATTGGTGGTTAATTTGTAAAGGACCACTGGTTATGAACTCGTTCTGCATTTATAATTTTTGCACCTGCAATTATTTGCATGCAAAAAATGTGCAGCCACAGTTGCCTAATTACAGGCACAGCCATCCAAATTAGCCCTCAAAAAGAACAGCACAAAGAGATACCATCTGTGAAAGTGCAGCAAACCCTTCTGACCTTTCCTGCTCCAAACCCTGCAAGGCTGGTGGGCACATTTTCCTCTCGGCTTTTGTCTCAGGCTTTATTTTTGCCTGATCTCATTCATGCCTTACAGGCTAGTCATTCAGATAAGCAGAGTCAGAGCAGCCTTTCCTCCTCTCCAAAATAACATGTACCACAGTTTAGGCAGACTAAAAACAGGAGCCATCTCTGAAGTACATCGTTTTCATTGCTAGCGTGAGAAGATCTGATGTTTTTATTCACATGCAGTATTACATAGTAGCCAGCTGAACACTATGAAGACAGAATCTCATAAACATTTTGGCTTAACTATAACAAAAAAATTACATTACTCCACTTTTTGAAAAAAAGATTTTAGCCATTTTTCAAAATCATAGCTGTCAGTTTGATCAAATCTATTTACATTTTCCCATTATATTAGTCGGGCCATCATGAAATTTTATCATTGTCTCTTGGAGTTTGATTTTCCACAAAAGCATCATAATACAATCAGATTATAGTGAACAGTTATTGAACTAAGTGGAGACAGTTATGATTTCAGGTGGGAAATATAAAATAATAGATGAAAAATTTAAAATCTGGGTTAATACTTGCTAAAGTTTCTGTTCTCACACAAATGTCAGTAATAATAAATCTGGAGCCACCATAGCTTTCTCTATAAAAATAAACTGGATTTCAGATAGAATAATTTTTAAAGGTTTCAGTGATCAAATAGTTTTTGCTTATTATTTAATCATTAAAAATTTTGAATCTAATAAATCCTGATATAGAAATAATATATGCTTTAAAATTAGGGAATCTCATAATTTATTAGCCTAATGACAAAAATCAGACTGTAAATATACTTATTTTATGTGAAATCTATATTTATATATTTTGTACAGTTTGGAATGGTCATAAAATATTACTATGAAGATTTAAGGAAATGCAAAAATGTAGGAATGCTAAGCATTCAATGTTTTTATTTAATTTGTTTCACTTAAAAATTACAGTGAAGTAGGGGAAGGTAATAAGGGAAAGAAAAAAAGGGAGAAAATGAAAAAATGGAAATAAAATATTTGTAAATGAGGAGTGGGGGAGGGGCTGAAGGGAGGGCAGGGAAAAGGCAAAAAAATGAGAACCAAGACCTGTCATGTAAAGGTACAAGATCCCAGTAATGAATGTAACTGTACCATATACCTAAAATGTACCGATAAACTCAATGAGAAAAAAAATTACAGTGAATGGAAAAGTATGCTTTTGTTTTATTATCTTTGCCTCAGTGGTGCATGTCCTGAAAATTAGAGCAGAAAGACATTAGCCTCAAGTTTATGGTCAATGGCACACCTGTTTGGACATTAGATATTTAGATATGAAAGAATAATTTAGATTGAGCCGACAGGAGCCATGTTAAGAAAATGAGAATTTGTTAAGGGGAGACATCATACCAGAAATTGCTGAATATTCAACGGGTACTGTCAAATTTCAACATATCACTAATGGCACGATAAACTTAGTTGTCCATTTCTCACATGGGGTAGAAGGTCATGTTGAGATCTTGCAAGGGATAATGTTACTCACATCCGGAGCTTCCATTTGTTGATACCAGAGTCAAGTTGGAAGGCCATGGATTCCGAACAATATCTTGCCAGTGAATAGTGTCTGCATAACAAAGGAACTTGTTCTGGTCTACATAGACGCCACCATTTAGAATTTCTATAGAGAAAACAAACACATTTATTGTCAAACTGTTTCTTGAGGGAAAAGAGCGGTCAATAAATATGATTTTTCTTCCAGATTATTTTCATTGATTGTTAGGAGCCAAGATGTCTTATAAAAGTATCCTCCATTGAGTACTATATATTGATTCTAGAGATTTTTTTAAAGATTCAAAGTACAGAAGCAAACAAAAACCATCTAATTCAGACAGAAAGATTCTTAACAGGTTGGTACAAATATTATTAGTTTATTTTCTTTTTTCCTACTGAAACTGGACTAATATGTAAATATTTTATAACTTTCTAAGTTGGTTTAGTAGTCTATAGTTAGCATTGAACAACATTTATTATTTTATATTATTTTAATGAAACTACAATATGTCAGCCTAGAGGTTAAATAATAATTACCTAATTATTTTTTTCTTGTTTGTCACTTGTTTATCTCTGGTTAATCTTGGAAATAAATCTCACTCATGCCATACTAAAGGCAGAGAATATGAATGGTCTCAAGATTTTGGATACAGTTCTCAAAGGCCCCTTTAGAAAGATCGTATGGTCAGTGTGATGTTGGCTGGACAGGAACAAAATTGAAACTGGCATTGACACTTCTAACACAAATGTGTTCTTTTCCTTTCTTTGTTTTTTCAGCTTTAATTGAGTTTATTGGTACATTTTAGGTATACAGTACAATTACATTCATCATTGGGATCTTGTACCTTTACATGACAGGTCTTGGTTCTCATTTTTTCCCCTTGTCCATGCCCTCCCTTCACCCCTCCTCTCCTCCCCATTTACAAACACTTTATTTCCATTTTTTCATTTTGTCATATTTTTTTCTTTTCCCTTATTACCAATGTGTTCTTTTTCATCCCAAAGAGAATGGACAGAATTGCTAATTACATGCAAAGAAAGACAAGAGGTGTGATCTAACCATACAGTGAATGGTTAAATTTTAAGAGATTTATTACAGTAAAATACTCAGTGATTAATTCTGCTCAAACTACTCCCTCTTGCACTGAGCACACTTAACCCATCATTCTTGCACCTCCTCAAGCAGTTCTGAACTCTGCTGACCTGGCTGCTTCAGTGTCCTGAGTTGATTCAAAACACTTACCTTTCATTATCATTTTTACTTTGGGGAAGAGCCATAAATTGCACAGTGCAAGATTTAATGAATAAGGTGGCTGAGCACAGATGCACTGTAATGTTTTTATGAACCTGCTTTTCTGTTGGATGTCATTTAGCAGCAGCATTCACTGTTTTTCGGTCATACTTTGTAAAGACACAAAAGAAGACTTCCAGAGCTGCTTCAGAAAGTTTTAAGCACGATGGGTTAAGTATGTTTGGAGTGAGGGTAGTATTTTGAGGGAATTAACAGCAAGGTGTCATTTACTGTAATATGTCTCTTTGAACATTTGCTGTACATTTTGATGACCCTTTTTTATAATAAAAAATCTCTGTTTCATTGGGAAAGGGGAATGGCCATAGAAAAAAGTACAGTAATGTCAATTTCTGCTTGACTCCTGTTTCAGAACTGGCTTTGGTTAGTTAACTTGTTCTCAGCAATCATTGCCTGACCTCACAAAAGAGTTATGCTATCCAGTAAAAGATATTTTCTCTAAAAGTATCATCATGTTTAAAGAAATTGGCTAGAAATACACCTAATACCTTCTTGTCTAATATCCACTGTTTCCCCTCATATCCAATACAAACAGAAGTTTAGAACAACCATAGAGTAGTCCATAAAGATTCCATTGTGAGTAAAAAAAACAACAACAACAACAAAAAAACAAAGCATAACCAAACTTAGAACACGGTTTAAATACAGATAGGGCCTTATTTCTTTGCACAGGATAAGAACTCCACTGAGGCAGGTACAGATATGGTCTAGCTGTCCCACAGTGTCCCTTTGCTTCTTAGCTATCCTTTGTGACAGCTTTCTTCCTTCCAACTCAGGATAACTGCTGCATCAAAAACATCTGCTCTGAGTTGAAGGCAGGAAAAGACAGAAGAGGAGGGAAGAGATGTTTTCTCTCAGTGAAAATTTTCTGTTTGTTTGTTTTTTGAGACAGGGTATCTCTATGTAGTCCAGTGAACTCACTATGTAGCTCAGGCTGACCAACTCCTGGCAATCCTCCACCTTCCTCCGGAGAGCTGGGATTACAGGTGTGGTGTGTGTGTGTGTGTGTGTGTGTGTGTGTGTGTGTGACCACTCACAGCTCTCCTAATGAACTTTTGATTTTCTATTTGAAGAGATGCTTTCTTCAAGGATTTCATCTGCATTTCACTGCCCAGAACAATAACTCATGGCTACTGCAAGAAAGACTGAGGAAGCAACTTTTTAGGAACACATTGCTGAGATGTCGCTGAGGATGCAGAGGGACATAGTTACAGGGAAGGAAACAGACTTTCTTTCATGGAAACCTTGACAAAGTTATCTCTCCTGTGTAGTACACCAAGTTAAACTTTTAAAGAGTTCACTTAAAACCAAAGAGGAAGATAAAAGAATGAAAGGAACATGTGGCACCACAGAGTGGAATTTGTGAAAGCAAGATTGGTGGGCACATCCACATGATTTTTTGGCTTTGCATGTATGAAATCCTGCAGATTAGTTTTGATGTTGCAGAGCTTTCCACATTTAAAATCAGCCCTACTCTCATCATCAGTCCTTCCACTGAATATTGGTTCTGTTTTCTTCAGAGTGGAGGAAAAAAACAAAAATAAATTAGATCATCTTTGCACTTTTAAAACCCAGATCATTATTCTTCATGACCTAATAATACAATCTTTATCAAATCAGAAGAGAGATGTAAGATGTGGGAAAGATCATGAAAATGAATTTCTACATTAACATGGAGCATTAAATTTTTATCTAAGAAGTGTGACAATCTCATACTAATAGCTTTCTTATGAGACATTAGGTGATGCTCTTCAGCTCTAGGAATAATTTTATATTAGGTAACAAAGAAAAGAGATTCTGAATGCTTTCCAAGAAATGCAGTTTATTTTTCAGTCTGCATTTTGAAAAGTTTTACTTTAAAAAAAAAAGTGAAGAGAAAGGTAACAGTTCAAGTATAATGAAAAGAGTCTGTATTTTTCAGGAGTCACATTTTAATTCAACTTGACCACAGTGAGGAAACAATATTTATCTTCAACCCATCTCTTTCTATCTAAAAATTTTCAAACAGAATCAGATTATGCTGGATAATAATCTTATCAAATCCTTTTCTTGAACAATATTAATCTGCTACCATTGTTGCCATTTATTTCTTAGAAATATTCTGTTGAAGAGCTTGGCTTTTACTTGGAAGAAGGGATTTAGAAAAGAGACAATAACAACTTCAATATAATATTACATGTTAAAATTTCAAATTATGATATGGTCATGATCAATCTAGATATTTTGAGGGTCACAAACTTAAACCTAGCATCTGCTAACAATTCTGGTCAGAAGCATTTACAGACTTTTAGCATTTAATGTTGGATGGTTTATGTGTGTTTTCTGTCACAATAGTTTTTTTTTCCTTTTCACATTAGTTTTATTCTTTTGTTGAGAGTTAAACTTCTATAATCAGAGAATATATACTTTCACTGACTGACATTCATAGGAAAGTTGTTTGTTGTTGTTTTTGTTTTTGTTTTGTTTTGTTTTGTTTTGTTTGGTACCAGAGATTGAACTTGGGACCTTCCACTTGTGAGGCAGGTGGTGGCACTACTGAGCTAAATCCCAGCCCAGGAAATTTTTTAATATACACTTTATCTTACATTTTTGATCGACTTCAATTACTTAAACATTGTCAGAAAATGCTATGATTGCACATATACATTTTAAAGCTTTCTTTGATTGTATAATTTTATAAAAATTTAAAACATTAATTTAATGCATATCTTGTAATGACATATTTGGTTAACTTTACTTCTGAACAAAAGAATTCTAAATAATGGATCTGACCATTAACAAAATTCTTAGAGATCCAAAATTTGTACTTGAAAGAGGAGATACCTAAGATTTTTTACTATGGTGGACTATAGAGATATGGATGTATTTTTAGAGCATAAAGAGGAAGAAGGATTCAAAAAGAGAAAAGTTTGGTAAGATATTTATCCAATAAAATGCCTTTAAAGTATCTGGCAGTATTTAGCTCTATCTGTGGTATAACATTCCAAAACAGCAATGCTTTCCAATGTTTAATTAAAGGTCCATTGAAAGGAACCTCCTGTGTGACACCTACAGTTTCTCTGTCACTAACATGAAATAAAGTAACTATTAATTAACATAAAAGAACATATAAGGCAATCCTCAACCCTGAAGAAAATCAGACAAATGAGGCATAAATTTAAGTGATATTCAGAATAAGTGAACAAACAACATAAAGCATATTCTATTATATTTCACTGTAAAAAATATATCAGAGTACACTAAGAGACACAAATAGATTTTTGGTCATTTAATGAATTGGTAGAAAAGGCTTTATGAGTTTTCTTATTATGCTATAAAAATATATTTCCAGCAAATTCACAAAAACAGAACTGTTATAAATATAGTAAGATAGATTAGACATGACATTTGGTAAAAGAGCTTCATTTCATTACTGAAAAATTCTATTAAACACTTAAATATGTTTATGTCTCAAACATTTCCCAATAGATGAATGAATGCAAACTGCATAAAATATGTCATAAATCTTTTTGTATTTAAATTGTAATCCACATTACTCCCAATATATTGAATGTATCTTATACATAGCACACTACTTGTAACTGAAATACAATTAGAATAAGCATTATGAAGCAAGACATATTTTTAGCCCTGTCTCTGTAGGATTAAACCTAGGGCATATTTGTTATTCAGTGAATATTTGCTAGATTTACCTAAAAAAGTATTAAAATGCATTATGGAATTTGCTGCCGAAGTAATAAGTTAATTTTTGTTGTAGTTCCTAATATTGAATTATATTCTATCTAAATCAAAGAATTAGTTATCTTTTCCCATTAACA